CATTGGTGTCACAGGAATAACATTTACATGAGATTCCTTTCCCTTCCATTTGGTTAAGTCAAACCACGTATAAAATGATGATAGTTTAAATGGATAAGGAGGTAGTATTGTTTGGGCGATAAATGTCGACCTCAGGCTCAGACGTTTCCAAACAAAAGAATAGCCAATAATTTCAGTCTCAAAGAATGACAAACCAGACAGCGATTATGAATAGTACAGCTATGGACATACTCAAGATTGAGCACAACATGGTATATATAATTGTTGTTTTATTAAAGACGGAACCATATCTTTGCTTCCAAGCCTCAAACATCCACATCAATATATTATATACTAAAATTTATGCATGTATTGTTTGCTTCATACCATTCCATTCCATTCCTTTTGTATACGTACAGGAGTATCCTAAGTTGATAACAAAATAATATGTGACTCTAGTTAAAGAGTTGTATTTTCCACAGGTATACGAAAGCAATTAATATTTAATTTGCCAAGCCTTTCAAAACATGTTTCTTACAAATACTGAGTCAATGGAGTGCTGATCTGGAACCCAATCCCAATAATAATAATGCAAGAAATAACAAGGGTTGGGGATATTTTTGGGGAACTGAGCGTGGTGAACAGTACACAGAAAAGGACAAATTTAGTGGGCAGATTCCATCGGTTTGTTCCGTGCGGAGATTCCTACCAATTTCCAAGAGAGATAACAAATGTCTCTAATTATAAAATAATCAATCTACCCAGATCATTTCTTCATTACTACTGATCTCGATACCATTTGTAATATTTGAAATACAAGCAACGATAGATCCAAAAAACCCATTTCCATGTGCATTAGATGTGTGCTATCATCTTTTTTCTTGTAATAATTATTTATCATGCTAAGGGTATCTTCTAGTAGAGTTTATAACAATACAATAAAAATTTGTTAGTTGTTTAATTAGGAAAATATTCTTCAATCTCCCAGTCCCAACACTTTCATTTCAAAAACAACCAAATACTTTGACAAAACCATACCATATCTTATATTAGTCAATAAAGTAATCTTCAAAAAAAACCTGAAATTGCATTCAAAGTGGCAAACAACAGCAAGCCCATTTCAGTAAAATAAAAATCCCAACAACTAAATCTAATCTTTCCATCAAAGAAGGAAGGAACCAACGGCGCACAAAATAAAAACACTTGAAAACGCTACACACGCCACTCCTTTTGTATTCCCTTTCTCCCGCGATCTTTTTTCTTTTTCATTTCCGGCGAGCATGACTCCACTGCTCTTCGCATAATGACCCGAACCCTACCCCGACCCCACAAACTATCCAATTCAACTTCTCCTACTAATAGTAGCGGTGGAGGAACCGCCATGAGAGTGATAGTACCCTTACAAGGAGTGGTTCAAGGGAGAGGAGGTCTGTTTTTAGGCTCTGTAATCCCCTGCGCGCTCTTTTACTTTCTCCAGCTCTATCTCAAACGATTCCGTAATGACCCAGGTGACCCCAAAGACCCGAATTCTTCTTCTCCGCCGCCGAGAACGGGTTCTCCTAATACGTCGCCATCTAATTCGGCAGGGAAGTTGACAGAGCTTTCTGGGTTCCCGCGGTCTCTGTCTCGGTCTCTGTTGTCGCCGCGAAATACTGGTGGACCCGTTTCTGTGTCGAGTCGGGTCAGTTCGATTCTCAAGAGCGGTGAGTCACCGTTTTATTTGGGCTTAAAGCGAGTTGAGGATGACCCGTATCATGAAGTTGGTAATTCGGGTGGGATTATTCAGCTTGGTTTGGCTGAAAACAAGGTTGGTTTTTTTTTTTTTTAATACATTTATTTATTTATTTTGTTAAGTAAATGATACTCTTCAAAGAATAATATGGTATTGTCAAAATTTCAGCTTCTACATGAAAAAAATTGTTTTTTTTTTTTTTTTTCAACTTAAATTATTAGAGTAAGCTGTTTTTGTAACTTCAATAATGGCTGTGGTGATGGGTTTGAGCGTTTGGTTGGTGTAGTTGTCATTGGATTTGGTTGAGGATTGGCTTGACCAGAATGCAAGAGAGGCGTTAGTGGGTGGAGTAGCAAATTGTGAGGAGTCCAATAGTAGTGGGATTGCTAGTTACCAGGCTTTTGATGGACTGATGGAGTTGAAAGTGGTAATTCATAATTTCATTTTCTGTAAATTATCCTTTTCTTGTTTTGAATGACGGAGTCTAACTAGCTTTGTATGTGTGGTGGTGTGTTATTCTTCCTTCCAATTTCGGTTCATATTGGCCTGCTTGCTGGAGTTTATACGTTGGTTTCTGGAAATTTTAAGCTATTATGACGAAATGGATTTATATTCTTAGAGGCATGGTGTCGTAATTGGCAACCTTCCCCATAAATTTAGGGGATCCTTTTTGATCATTTATAAATAATCACGGAACAGTGTCATAAGAAGGTCTCAACCAATTTAGGGCTTGTCAAGATGAACAGTTTGTAGTTCATCATTTAGTATAACTGCAATGGGATTGCCCTTGGATTAAAATTTTTTTTGGTGTTACCTCAAATTTGAATTAGTTTCATCATCAGTTGTAAGATTTATGAAACTTAATGAAAGGATTAAAATTTTCATTTCGTGGAACTTAATTCTAAGTGATTGAAAAGTTCACTTTTGATGAATAAATGACAGTAATATGTAATTACAGATCTGCTTTTAATTTTATTATGTTTTGGAACCAGCTAAGGTGCATTGTTCGTTATCAACCATCAATCACACCCCAACAAAATAATGGAAGTGATCCGATGATTGAAAAGCAGGCTTAACATTACCTCAGTTCTGTGGCAGTGCCTTTATATTTTATGTTGCTGTTGATTGTTCATGCTTTTTTTTTTTTTTTTTTTTAATATAAATGATAAATATTTAGTTTTTTTTTTTTTTTTTTTAATATAAATGATAAATATTTAGAATACTACCACTAATTGCATATCAATTTAATTTTAGCAGTTACAAAATTTTGTCATCATTTTGGATCGGCTTTGATTTCTGTCTGGTGATGAACCTTTTGCCTTGGATCTGAAATATCTCACGAGGTTGCTAGTATTCAGAGTTCAGTTGCTAGTTATAAATTTCAGATAAAATTCAGATATCATGCTTTTTCTTTCATGGAATTGGCATTTGAAAGTTCAAGGCTTCTGCGATCACAGAGTCTCACTTCCATAGATTATCAATTTTGTTTGTGGATGAAATATGTTTTATTTTTTCTCGTAAACTACATTCATTAGTGGATTTTCACTAATCACACTAATCCTGCAGGCTGTTGCAGGGTTTATGTCACAAGTCATGGAAAAAGAAATTTCCTTCAATCCTTCACAAATAGTATTAACAGCTGGTGCAATTCCTGCAATAGAGATACTCAGCTTCTGCCTAGCAGACAGTGGGAATGCATTTCTTGTTCCAACGCCATATCACCCTGGGTAATTATGGATCCCCATGTTTCAGTTTCAGCGGTATATAATTCAGTAATTTTACGACCCTGTGTGAGAACTGAAGTTTTAAACTATATATGCAGTCTTGATAGGGATGTAAAATGGCGAACTGGGGTGGAGATAATTCCTGTTCCCTGCCGCAGTGCCGACAACTTCAGTGTAAGTATTACTGCTCTAGATCGAGCTTTCAACCAGGCAAGGAAGCGTGGTATCAGAGTTCGTGGTATTATAATATCAAACCCCACAAATCCTGTTGGCAATCTATTTAACCGGGATACACTTTACAGCCTCCTGGACTTTGCTAGGGAGAAGAAGATCCATGTTGTCTCTAATGAATTACTAGCTGGGTCCACTTATGGAAGTGAAGAATTTGTGAGCATGGCTGATATTATTGATGTAGAAGACCTTGACCGGGACAGAGTTCATATGGTATATGCTCTATCAAAAGACCTATCTCTTCCAGGTTTTAGGATGGGAGTTATCCACTCCTACAATGAGAATGTTCTGGCTGCTACTAAAAAAATGGCTAGATTCTCGTCTGTTTCAGCACCAACTCAGCATTTGGTAGTCTCAATGCTTTCAGATGCAAAATTTGTTGAGAAGTTAGTGAAGATTAATAGGGAGAGACTTGGAAGAATGTATGTTGAGTTTGCGGGAGGGTTGAAAAAGTTGGGCATTGAGTGCACAAAGAGTAATGGGGGTTTCTACTGTTGGGCTGACATGAGTGGGTTAATCAGCTCTTACAGTGAGAAAGGGGAGTTCGAACTTTGGGATAAGTTGTTGAATGTGGCTAAGCTCAATGTAATTCCTGGATCTTGTTGTCACTGTATTGAACCAGGATGGTTCTGTTTCTGTTTTACATTGTTGACTGAAAAAGATATCCCTGTAGTTATGGAACGAATACGAAGAATTTCTGAAACCTGTAAATTTCAAAGTTGAAATGCAATTGGATTATTATTTCAGTGTTAAATGACATACAGAATTGCAGCCATATTAGTTGGAACTAGCCATCTTCAGGCTTAACATGTGCAAATTGATTAAAGTTGGGTAGGAGTTGTGATGGCTTAAAAAATTTACACATCACTAAATGATCCTTGATGTTGCAAGCATACTGAATGATCTTCCATCATTTGTCAAGTCAGCAAAAGACTTAGCTATTCACTGCTTCGAAGGGAAAATAGACAGGAAGGGGAAGGGGAAGGGGAAACAATGTTCATTAAATTAATTTATTTTATTTTCCATGCCCGCTATTATTTGACATTCCATGCGTTTGTCCCCATCTTTGGATAATAATAGTGGCCCAAATGCTCTATGAAATTACAAACAAATCACACTCTAGCTCTCTTTGCCGTTGTTTCTTGCTGTGGTTATATTGAAACGAATTACAGCATTAGATTATGTTCTTTTACAGGAGGCAAAGCACTCACCTGAGGTTTAACTTTTTACTCATCATACTTGATGTTCTATGTTCCAAAAGTTAAACAAGAATCAATTGCCAGCAAATAACATACAATAAATGAATCATTTTATTGAAAATTATAAATGTCAGCAACAATTGATTAATGCTAATCCCAAAATGAATACAAAAGAATGATTTTCATTTTCCTCTTCCCACCTCTCAATCCCCTTCCACCTAGACTATTCTTTGATCTTGCAACAAAAATAAACTGTTAATTTGACTCTAGAAGTGGTTCAATAAACCCTCCATTTTCATTAATCACACTATGGTTCCAGTCCATTTCTGATGGACTCAAGAAATTGAACTACTTCAGCCATGCTTGGTCTTCTTGAAGGAACTTCTGATGTACAAATTAGCCCCAATTTCATAACCTGAATCAATTCATTCTCTGCAAAACCTCGCAAACTTGTATCAAAACATGCCGAAGCAGAGCCACTCTCAAACAACTCTCTGGCATATTCACATAAAACCACCACCGCATTTGCACTGGGACTCTCCACTGGTTTCCTCCCTGTAACCAGCTCCAAAAGAATCACTCCAAAACTGTAAACATCACATTTCTCACTCAACCTGTAACTTTGAGCCAACTCCGGTGCTACATACCCAACTGCATTGTGAAATTTGGTTAAACCATAATTGTCCAAGATGGGGAGAAATTTTCCTAATCCATAATCAGACAACTTAGCCTCATAGTTTTCATCTAAGAGTATGTTAGTGGACTTGATGTTGAGATGAAGTATTGGAGGCCTACAATCATGGTGAAGGTAAGCAAGTGCTCTTGCAGTCCCAACAGCAATCTGAAACCTCCTAGACCAGTGCAATTCACTATTGCCTACACCAGTACTGGTGCCTGGATAATTAAGCCCGTGTAGATTATCATACAGATTCCCATTTGGAACAAATTCAGACAGAACTAGCTTATTTGATGAGGACCAATAATAACCTTGAAAGGGAACCAAATTGGAGTGTCGTAAGTTACCTAACCGTCCAATTTCAAGCTCAAATTCTTCTTGGTTTCTAATCCTTCCTATAGTCTCAAGCTTCTTAACTGCAATTGAAATCCCTCCTTCGAAAGTGGCTTTATACACTGATCCAATTGAGCCACCACCTATTAGGCACTCCTTGTCAAGCAACGCTTTGATGCCTGCCTGCCAATCTTCATACTTTGAAGGCAAACTCTTGCTGAAGAGAACCAACTTCCCAATTATAACACTTGAATCTGTTGAAGCGAGAGGTGTGCTCTCAACAACAATAGTTTCATTATCTCTTCTACTCTTGCGTGCCTTGATGTTCATGATGGACACCACACAAACCCCAGTAAGGATAACTGCTGCAGCAACAATTGCAACAATAGCAGAAACACTAAGAACCTTGGGTTTCTTTGATGTTGAAGTTGTGCCATTACGACTTCCTGAGCAAGATGTCTCCAGAGGCGCACCACAGAGTCCAGGGTTGTTGGAAAATGCGAATGCACCAAAATGCTGTATAGTTGAAGGAATAGCTCCCGAGAGATTGTTAAAAGAAAGGCTAAAATATGTTATATTCATCAAATTTCCAAGGGAAACAGGGATTGGCCCAAAAAGTGAATTTTGTGACAGATCGAGAATTTGGAGATTGGACAAGTTTCCTAGACTAGATGGAATGCTTCCATTAAGGTGGTTTTGATGTAAATCAAGGATTTGTAAATATGTCATGTTATATAAGGTTTGAGGAATGTCTCCCTCTAAAGCATTACCAGAAACATCCCTGCAATAACATATTAGAAGTTTCTCAGCATTTATTAAAATAAACATTGCTTAACGTCTAGAATATATCAAGATAGGGGTTGAACTCACAGCGAACGAAGAAGCCAGCAATTGCCTAAATCATCCGGAACTTCACCAACAAGGTTGAGATTGTGCAAATCCAAAACCTGAAGGAACTCAATGCTCCCTAACTTTGGTGGGATTGTTCCATCTATGGAATTATTGCCCAATCTGATCACCAAAAGTTTCTCCAGATTGGTAATCCCAATTGGAATAGATCCAGTCAGCCTATTAAAACCCAAGTCTATAACCTTAAGGTTTCTACAATTTGTAATGCTCATTGGAATTTCACCATTTAACTCATTCCATGAAGAATCCAAAACTTCCATTCCCTCACCACAAGTTCCAACCTCTGGAATTTCCCCTCGAAAGCCATTATGTGACACATTGAAGTAACTGATATTCTTCTGTTCAAGAGCTCCAAATGGAGCCAACCCAGTAAACATATTGCTGCTTAGATCCAAATACTTGATGCTCTGGCACTTTGATATTTGCTCTTGAACACTCCCCATTAACACATTGCCTCTCAAAGATATAAAATCTAATACCGGGATATTGCAAACTTGAGAAGGCAATTCACCACTAAGATTGTTGAAAGAGAAATCAAACCCTTCAAGATAAGTACAATTGGCAATAGACACAGGAATTGGACCAGAAAGATTGTTGTGAGACAAAGAGACAAACTTGGTCTTATTACAAAACTTAAACAAATCAAAAGGAATACGTCCACTATAACCATTCCTAGACAAATCCAGAAGTCTTATATTTGGTAAGTCACCGATAAATTCAGGGATTGATCCAGAAAGTGCATTAGAACTCACATTGATCTTCCACAATGTTTGTATTTGAACATACTCTTGAGGAATATTACCTGAAAATTGATTACCAAACAATGTCAAGACCCGCAGATGCTTTAAACCAGACAAGACTGGAGATAAAACTCCAGCAAGGCTAGTGTTCCACAACACAATCTTGTCCACAAAACCATCTGGATTACAAATCACACCCTTGAAATTTTCACAAGGATTGCCACTTGAGACCCATGAAGACAAGGCGTTAAAAGGATCATTTGTGATGTTCCCCTTGAACTGTAGCAAGATTTCCTTTTCAGTTGCTGGTGAAACTATAGTGATTGTGAGACAAGTAAAAATGAGAAATAGGTGGATACTTGTCATGCTCGAAAATTGTGAAATGGATCTAGCCGTTTGGCATTATGAATTATTGAATCCGATAGAAAGAAGATCTACCAACCTGACTTCAATTGATGATGATACTCCACTTGGAAGATAATGATAAGAATGTAGTAAAATGAAACACAGTATCATTATCCTCATCAAAGAGCAGCATTTCATGACCTTATTGTACTACAATTTGAACGCATTAGCGTCAACAATAGCCTCTTAGCTGTACATGGAAATAAATGAATTTTGCTTGTTAGCATGATCACCAAGTCAAGGCTGAAAAAGAAGGATCTGGGAAGTTAACAATTTTAATTAGTTTTCCGGGGGCCAAGTGGAAAAGTAGAAGGGAATTATGAAAGGGTTATGGGAAGTAAATGAAATGAAAATGGAGGAAGCTTTGCTGGAAAGGGAGCAGGTGAAGAAATTAAATAAGTAATGAGATGTTATTGTTACCAACAAAAACAGAAGATAAAAGCACGTGCATGTGGATTTTCTCTCTCCCTGTTAAAAAGATTGATAAGAAAATGATGAATAAAGAAAGGGTTAAGGGTAATGTTCACTGACCTTCATGTAGGGTCTGTGTGGTTGTCTGGACTGGAGTTGAGCATTTATTCTCTCAACCCAACAACCAAGCCACTACCTCTCTCACATACACATTCATTATTAATTATTACAATAAGCAAGAGGAAGAGGAAGAAGAAGAAGAAGAGTAGTTTTGTTTTGCTGACTGAGTTGTTCAACTTTCTTCTTCTATCCGTTTCGATGGAGACCCTAGTATTGCTGTTTTCTTTCTTTAAATATAAAATATTAAACTTACTTGAGGGATGTCCATCTAAAGGTAAGAGTAAGACTATTTAAGGACCGTTGATTTGCCGATCATCTTAACGTATGTCAATGTGAAGGTAAATGTTGTTGGTTGCTCTGCTGGCCCACAATAAATGCTTTTAATGCAAATATTAAATGGTCTCCACTGCCAACGTCAACGTCTCACTGTGGTGTGCTTTAAGACGCAGACGCAGTCATAGATCTTAATGGATGGAATTTCAATATTTTAGATCAAAATAACCAATAATCAATCTAACAATCTCTATATTTATATAATCTCGAAGCATACTCTTTTTCTGTTTTACATAAGATTGATATATATGATTGTCATATAGGATATTATTAATTGATTCACGTATTTACTATTTATTAGGCTTATTATAATAGAGATCATTTACATGAATTCAATTAATGTATTCAATACAAATTTTAATTTGAGATCTTTCACATTCTTTTTTTAATTTGATAAATTACAAATGATTCACTTGTGTGTTATTGAGTTCTATGAATATTAAGAGATTGTTATAATAGAAATTATTTACATGTATTCAATACAAATCATTCACATTCCTCTTTTAATTTGATAAAGATACAACATATCTTTTCACATTCATGAAATTCAATAATACATTTTATTAATCCATTAATATTCAACGTTCATTTATACATATTAATTATTATTATTAATTAATCTTAATATTTTTGTACCCCTTCACATTCAATTAATTATTATTAATATTAATATATCTTTATCCCTTCATATTCAATTAAACAAAAATATCAAACATAATATCGAAAAATGTTTTTTTTATAAAACGTATTATCATTTAATATTTAATATAAATCCAAAAATTTTAAACTCATCCAATAATAATAAAACATTTAAATCAAAATAATCATAATCAATAGCATGCAAACACTTACTAAAAAATATCAAAAGTCATATTAATTAGCAATAATCCAATTATATTGAATATAACAGGAACAGTTGTTGTAATCATTAATTATCATATAATATTACTTAATGACATCTAAAGCTATATAAGAGTAGAGAATTCAACAATCCATACACCTTCAAATATTTTTTTCATTTCACACAGATACCATTAACAAATGGAAGACAAAAGACAAACTATTGTCAATCCAAAATCCAAACAAACAAAAGCGTGCGGTAAATAACATCAACTGATTACTCTTATATTCCTTCTACATATCTACTTTTACATCTCCATTTTTTTTTTTTTAGCAGGTCAAGCAGCAACGTCAAATGGTTTGCCTGAACTGGAAGGTATTCTACAAAACCTTAAAGTCACGCTGGACAAACTCAACACTGCCAGAGTGATGAACAGCGATATAATGAATGCTTTGTTAGCAATAACAGGCTCAACCATACATGTAATATTCGATTTACGGAAACGTGAATCCCTGATTATTGCCAAAGAAAAGGAACTTGGTATTCCTTAAGGAAAAAAATAGAACTATATATATAAATAGTTCTATTATCAATAAAATCAATAAAAGATTCACAGTTTATTGTTCCCATTAAATGATGATACTAGAAGCTAATATAAATATTGCTTATTCTACAGTTAACGCATAATTCTACATTACTATTTTACACCTTTTAATCTATTTCTTAAAGATTCCATTTCATTGTATAACTTAATGGGTTGGATTTAAATTTTAAAAGTTTTTTAATTAAGTAGTGAATAAGTTTCTCAACAATTGAACTTAAACTTATTCTATATGTGTGAAGATCTTATAAATATATATATATATATATATATATATATATATATATATATATAATATATATATATATATATATTATATAATATATATATATATATATTAATATAATGTGAAGCAGACTGCTTCTTTGACGCCACGTAGGATTGATAAATGATCGCATGTAGGATGTGTTTAAGTGTCCACGTGTTTGTTGTTTATTGGGCTTGCTATAATAGTCATGGTTTCAATTACCAGTAATAATTTCTCAAAATAATATTTTAAAGATATTCACTAAATGTAACTATTTATCACAATCTCTAACTATTGATATTCTACATTGTACATTTAATCTAACATGATAATATTCATCAACCCTTCAGTTATCACAACAATTAGTGGAAACTATGCACTAATATGTCAATAATGTAACTATTTACGAGAAACAGCTCTTCTATTTGCCTTTTCCATTTGTTGTTCCAATATTTAAATATATTTACTAAATTAACATTTATCAATCTCTTAACTATTGATATTATACTATGTAATTTAATCTGAACATGATAAATTCATCAACCCTTCATTATCACATCAATTTAGTGGAAACTATGCACTAAATGTTCAATAAATAACTATTTACGAGAAACAGTCCTTCTATGCCTTTTCACATTTTGTTGTTCTATATAAACATAACAAAATACATTGAAATATCACATGTCTTTGGATTAATATCTTTGCAGGATATTATGACAGTTTCAATACTTTGTTTAAAGTTATTAATCAATGCAAGATGTGGATATTGATTGTCAGGGTTTTTAGATTGTGGAATGTTTTAATTTCAGAAGGGACAACAGCTGATTAGTCTTGATATGATTTTATTGATGAAGAGGTATTATATATTTTTGTTAAATTATAAATTTTACCAACATTGGAAATTGTGTAAGTTCGTTAACCTTTTTTATTTGTAATTATTTTATAGCATGATGTGATGCATGGGACTATACCAAAAAATAGAGTTGTGAAATTTAAGAACCAAATTCGTGAAGGCCATATATATTTGATTAAAAATGTGAAGGTCATACCATGTGCTACTACTTACAAGCCTGTTGAAGGTGCTTATCGTTTACAATTACTCATGAATACTTCCATCGAGGAGATCAAGGAAGTAACAGTTGCTATTCCAGAGTTTAAATTTCAATTTGCTGGTATCAATGATCTGCAAAATAGAAAAAATGACAGATCTTTGTTATCACGTAAACCTTTTATTACTATTCATGTTGTACATCTATATTATCTACTGTAATTCTAAATACAGTAAATGGTTTACAGATGTTATAGGTATTTTGAATGGAGTAGGTGAGATCGAAAAAATCGTATCAACAAACAGTTATAAACAAGATATCATTTTGCAAATTGAACAGTAAGTTCTTTTTTGAATATCGTAATAATGTGGTACAATTTGATTATCTTACATTGATGTATTTTCAGGGAGACATTTAGAGTTTCATTATGGGAGGAAATTTCAAAAAAAAATTGATGAGAGCTTGCTAATAGGAGATGACAAATCAGTTGTCATAATTATCCCATCAACAAACATTAAAGAGTTTCAAGGTATTTTAGGCTTTTGATATCGGATAGAAATTTATGGTTTAATAATTCGTGATTTTAAATGTACAGGTAAGATATATCTTAATAGTACTTCGGCATCAAGAATCTATATCAATCTACAAATTGACGAGGTCCATCTTTTGCAGAGAAAGTGCGTGTTTTAGCAACCTTTTCTGCAAATAATTTAAGAAATAATTATATAATTTATGTCTCATTTGTTGTACGATTTGCAGTAATGAAAATATTCCAGTTGTTAAATTGCAAAAGAGAAAGCTAAATGAGATATCGGTTGAGGAGGAGATGTTTCAAAATAGAGTATCTTTGAAATATCTTACCAGCCTTACGTGGTATAACTGGGATAGGATTACAGAATATACAATAAAGGCAAAAATCATTGGAGTCAATGGCAGATTTGGTTGGTGTTACTTATCTTGCAGTGTTTGTAAGAAGAAAATTCCTAATATGAACAATAGCAATTTCTACTGTATTAAATGCAATAAGGAGATAAAATTTCCACAAATGAGGTAAATCAATTTTTTATTGAAAATTAAATAATTGTTGTAAGACAATGCATTATAACGTTAGCATTTGATATTTATTAATGAATCTAGCCATCGTTGCTTTATTTCTAAGAACCCTAAGAAACCCTATCAACAGAAATATTATATTGTAATTAGAAGACAAGTAAATAATTAGAAACCTATAAACAAAAAATGACGTAACAAACTCAACTCCATAACACTTTGAACTATTAATATCATTATGCTTTCAACATCAACTTTAAGAAACTAAAAAGTCTAAGAAACCCAGTGAACAGAGATATTATACGATGCGTACAAAATAAGTAAATAATCGAAAGCCTGTAAATAACAATAGTATAACAGACTCTATCCCCATAAACACTTTGATACTATATCATACAATATTAAATGTATATACTAAACAATATAATAACCAAGAATTGTACTATAAAATGGACAACTATATTAACTAATTATAGCAATAACGGAATTAATTTCAAACAAAAATAACCTAACAAACTGCACCCCATAAACACTTTGAACTGTTTATATTATAATGCTTTCAACTTCAACCTTTCAGTTACCATGAGTAACCATTCAAAATAATAATTTAATTGTATTGATTAAATCATGACATAACAAACTATTAAATGCATATTTTTGTGCTCACAATTTAACGGTCATAAATTTTTCTGTTTTTTAATTCAAACATGAGAGGAATACAAATGGATCGGTAATTCACTGAGGGTCAACGGGGAAAATGGGGCAATTTTAGATTGACTTTCCAAAGTGAATTAGTTGGGTGGCAAGAAGCAAGGAAGAAGGGGTAAAGATATCTAATATTAGTATAATTAACTGAATGTGAAGGGGTACATATATTAATTTAAAATTAATTAATAATAATAATAATATGCATGATTATATGTTTTGTTTGATGAATTTAGTCTGATTCATTGTTTATATCTATATAATTCTGAAGCACTTGATATTTGATTGCCACATAGG